CAGAACCCGGTCAGAGTAATAGGATTCTTACTGTCAACAAGGTGCATTATCCCATAACTGCGTGCGCCTCCGGGATATTTTCAGAGATGATTGCCGCGATTTTTACATAAACTTCATTGCAAACTTTTCTTGAAACGAGGTTTGAATATAGGGTGTAGTTAAAATTGTAATCAGCAGATTTTGTTAGTTTCATGCCCACGCCTCACGCCGTTCCTAAGTTTGATTTGGTAGATTGATCTATGTAATAGCCATAGACAGAAGTCACGTTTACCTGAAGATAAATGTGGGTTGATAAAAAAAGAATAGTTTAAAAAAAAAACAAAAAAAAACCCTTTTATTAAAAATCAAACTAAGAAATAGAAAATAATTTTTAATAAATTTGAATTAATTTTTTTCCATAAAATCGTCTAACTTGAGAAATAGGTGATCACCGCGCCTGGTAGTTTCCTTTCTTGGTCTTGACGCAGACACTCCGGGTCTCAGGAAAACAAAAAATCGCTAATCCTGATTATCCTAGTAAGGATAACTAATCAACGCTCTTTTTTTTTTTTTTTTGCTTAGATGGGTGGACGAGCTCACAGCCCACCTGGTGTTAAGTGGTTACTGGAGCCCATAGACATCCACAACGTAAATGCGCCACCCACCTTGAGATACAAGTTCTAAGGTCTCATGTATAGTTACAACGGCTGCCCCACCCTTCAAACCGAAACGCATTACTGCTTCACGGCAGAAATAGGCAGGGTGGTGGTACCCACCCGTGCGGACTCACAAGAGGTACTACCACCAGTAATAAGCGTAAATATTGAATTGTCATGGGTCCTTAATAAGTATGCCAAATTTCGAGTTAATCCGACGCGACGTTTTGAAGGGGGTCGAAATCGTGTTCAAAGATTCCGTTACATACTAACATACGTATGAAGCTAATAAAAGCGTATTAACAATACCGTTAAGTGATTTTCAAACTTTTTGTTTCATAATCCAAAATCTCATAATCCGCTAATCGCTCCGCTCGTCATCAACTCGCTAGTTTTAAAAACACGACATCTGCATTCGACTGGAAAGTGAATATTGTTACGCGATTCCATTGCTTTTTGCTTTGCCTGACATGTGACAATTTCTTGGTACTCGTGGAAAATGGATTTAACTTTGTTCTTATATAGCGCCACGTCATTCTCTGTAATGATTTCTTGGCTAACTTGCAAAGGTCTTATCCCCGATCGGTCTATCGATTTATCCCTTGCAATTTACTCTGTGGTTATTAGCATTAGTAGCGGTGGCGATGATGGTATAACATTAAATGAAATCAATTAGACGTTGGAGACCGAACCTTCGGGGCAGCCACTCTGGATATCTTTCGGCTGATATATACAAACACACAAGATCTTTTATTCAATTGGATGATATAATGCCTAAATGTTGCATGTTTCGGCGGGATTCATTTGATTATTGACCATGGGTTTATTTTTAAGAGAACACCAATAAACATTACCATTCAATATATTTTGTTGCTCAATCTTATACGCATGTATTGATTGATGTATGGGACCGAAATTCCTGAGGAGTTATGAAGTCGGTGGCACTTAAACACGCCTCAAGCATTAACTTATGACACCATTCTCTTCGCCACAAGGTTATCTTTCCGCTCCCCATAATTAAGTGTCTGTGAAATTTGTTGGTACTCTATGTTCTTCTACATATCCCAATTTGACTGACGAACTACTGGCTTACGTATTAATTCGGGCGTCGTCCCGGGAGTCTGCTAAAGTTTAACTCGACCGAATACTGAGAATCTTGTGTCTTCGTCAGTGTCTAAAAGCTCAGGCAGTGAGAAATCTCGGATAAGTTGTCCTGTGTAGGGTGTCCTCATATCGAGTGCTAGCTCAAATCTCAGAACAGAAAAATATTCTTGAAGTGAAACTTCTTACTTTAGGTGCGTTGAGTGTAAAATTTAACTCGCGACAGATTCGTTACGGCTAGAGAGAAAAGATACAATTTAGGAAGAGCGAGAATGAGAAAATAGACAGAGCGTCTCGCGAACCACTCGACCCTGGAAAGAGGGAAAGGATAAAGCGATCTGTGTAGTTTCTTTTATACACAGCATTCCCTATTACAAGAGAATGTTGATTTAAGGATGAAAAATGAAGAAAACTACAATACTACAAACCGCAAAAAAAGTTTCACTTCTTTCACGTGCACCAAGTTGCATGCGCACCATTTTTTTTAACATAATTTTTTACCTACAATTTTGATATTGCTTTAATTTGCAATGAAACTCTATTTAAAATTAAGAAGAGGAGAGCTTCGACCAGCCACTTTTGCTTTACATTACGGGAACAAGAAGAAGCTACTGTACTTAGATTATCCGTCACTGGAAATACGACGAGAATCCGATAAAGTACATCTTCGCTATTTTTGCTCCATCAGCCCCTCCCTCTTATTCTAACTCGTTTTCAGCTTTGGCTTCAAAGTATCTACCAATTTGCAAACTGCACTGAGTGAGACGAACGGAACCCACACTGACTCAATATCGCAAAGCAGTCCTACACAATTTGGAATTCGATTTTGTAGGGGTCTTCAGACCCTTTTCTAAGGCGTAGTCTCCTGTGAGGAATTGGGGGAGGTGGAGCACCTTGGCTCTCCTTCCACCTCCCTCTCTGGAGGCGCTGTAGTCCGACATAACCCGGTCCGTCACCCCCTCGAACGGGTAACCGTAAATGGATTCTCCAGCGTTTAAAATAAAGGGGTCTTCAGACCCAACTATAGGTTATTTTAGTTTAGCTTAACTCATACAGTGCATGTACGTCCAAACCTTTAGCATAGGTTTACCTCGTGAGAGGCCAGCCCCCTTTGCCACTCCAGAAATTTTCGGCCCCAGCGATCATTTGTTCGACAAACAATATTCTCTCACATTCTCTCGTATTCGTCCACAGCCACTTCAATCTTGAAATCCTTCAGGCTATGTCGGTTACCATGGCTTACCTTTAGGAATGTTCTGGGTTTGAACTGCTCACGACCGGTTTATATTGTCGAACCTTGGGTCTATGCCCAGCAGCGGACGTCTATGGGCTGATGATTATGACGTGCAGACAGCAAACTAAGTGAATTAGCCGAGCTATGTAAAGCTTAGTTAGTTGTAAATGCCGATTCGTTATTACGTAAAATCAAACCCGCAAAATTATAATTTGCGTAATTACTGGTGGTAGGACTTCTTGTCCGCGCGGGTAAATACCACCACCCCGCCTATTTCTGCCGTGAAGCAGTAATGCGTTTCGGTTTGAAGGGCGGGGCAGCCGTTGTAACTATACTGAGACCTTAGAACTGATATCTCAAGGTGGGTGGCGCATTTACGTCGTAGATATCTATGGGCTCCAGTAACCACTTAACACCAGGTGGGCTGTGAACTCGTCCACCCATCTAAGCAATAAAAAAAAGTTAGTTGTTAATGCCGATCCGTTATCACTTAAGCTAAGCTAAGCTAAGCCTCTTCCATCTCATCTCGCACCCCCGTTTTAGTACGAAGCTGAACTATAGCTTGTATAATCTAGCTTAGCTCTTAGTCTATAACCGGCTTTAAGCTCAAAGTGGGGAGACCGTGCACATTGTGGACACTCCGGAATCTATATATTAATACGTGAAGCAAAAACTTTGTGTCCCTTTTTACGAAAATTGCGCGGACGGAGGAGTATGAAATTTTCCACACTTATAGAGAATATAGAGAAGAAGTGCACAATGATAATATTTTATTTAAATAATGCGTAAAAGGTACTTTAAATAAATAAAGAAAACATTACACACACTACATATCATGTATTTGACGCACACACGCATGCATACTATTTATTGTCAAACTTTTGTTCTTGGCGTCTGTGGTCAAATTGAGAATAGATTAAATATTGTTTGTCTTTGTTAATATTTTTTATAGTGTAGTCTTGGCGAAATTTGTGATTATAGAAGTATAAAATACAATCATAATAGTGTACAAACTTACAATTCCAATTAATTATAGTCGAATTTCGACTACTGCGGGACCTCTAGTTCCAATAAATAAACCACGTTAAAGTTTCATTGTTTTCGTTCATTGATTGACGAACTATCTGTGAGCCATCCAAAATTCATCTCGCGGGAGGCGGCTTATCTAACTTTGGATAACTCATGTGAATAATTGAAGGCAGGAGAAGCGGTGCCCGGTCTTTTGGGACCACGGAGATCGTTTGACGCGCGGTGTGGAATAACTCGGAATCGACGAGGACAGGATCCGCTCAGAGATTTAGTTAACTCATACGAATGATGGATGTTTTTTTTATTCATTTATTAGCTGACCCGGCGAACTTTGTTCCGCCTTAGAGTCAATAAATGAGCGGACTTTTGATTTTATCAAGATCAAATTTTTATTTGGATAATTAATGTAAATTAAAAAAGCAAGTATTTTAATGATTCTTTATTGGCCATGTATTTTAGTTGTTATTATTATTATTATTATATTTTTATTTCTTGTTCTTCTTCAGTCCTTTCTCTCGCAATGTTTCGAATCCTAGTTGCATTACGGCTTCGTCGGGAAAGATTTGACCGTGTTGGACGCGGCATGGCTTTAATGATTATCTCGGTACAATAAGCTAAGAAACAAATACGGTCAACTTCAAAATTCTACTATAATTAACCGTAGACTACTTTACGTGTAGCTGTCAGTTGCGTTTTGTTATACCACGTTTTATGTCACGAAGGAAGGTACCACCACCCAGCCTATTTCTGTCGTGAAGCAGTAATGCGTTTCGGTTTGAAGGGTGGGGCAGCCGTTGTAACTATACTGAGGTCTTAGAACTTATATCTCAAGGTGGGTGGCGCATTTACATCGTAGATGTCTATGGGCTCCAGTAACCACTTAACACCAGGTGGGCTGTGAGCTCTTCCACCCATCTAAGCAATAAGCAATAAAAAAAAGCAATGCAGACCAAAAAAATTGGACACTCCCAAGATGTCAATAATGAGTGGTTTTTTCTCAGTGTCGGCTCTGCCCAGTCCAACGGCTGCGGACGACGATGACGACGATGATGACACGACCCAGCAGAGCCGCTCCGAGGTCGATGATGATGGTCGAATATACAAGAACCCGAGAAATTCGCCGTCAGCCCAGTGCCCCAGAGACGAGGAACAAGCCACCCTACTGGTAAATGTTTACGGTCACTGTGCTTATCGAGAACTTCTTAACGTTCTCGATAGCGTAAACGTTAACTCAATTTTGTTTGAAATTGGAACGTTTGCCTGCGTTTGCCGCTAGGGGCGCTGTTCCAACAGCATACAAATTTGAATTAACTTTAACGCTATCGAAAACGTTAAAAAACTCGCACTGAGCGCACAGATTAAATATAACAGTTTACGTAAGGAAGATTAATTGAATTAACACAATCAAACAAAATTTTGGTCTGATATTAATAGTTGATCAAATAACAAAAAAAGAAATTCTAATTTCGACGTATCAGGTACATACCATTTTTTTCCGACACAATGGGTTATTTGTGTCGCTATCGGGTCCATAAAGTGCCAGTTCTATAGCAACGGTTACCATGGCAACCGTTGCTATGCGTGTGCGATGCTACTATGTAGGTACACGACGGTAGATGGAAAATCAATTCTGGGTGATGTTTGCATAAGATCCTCTCTCGGCGAACGCCCACATAACCAAAGGAGTGTCTGTGCCTTATTTAAAGATTATCGGACGTATAATTCAGAAATCTCTTTTTTTTTTATTGCCAGAAGGGTGGACGAGCTCACAGTCTACCTGGGGTTAAGTGGTTACTGGAGCCCATAGACATTTACAACGCAAATGCCCCACCCACCTTGAGATATAAGTTATAAGGTCTCAGTATAGTTACAACGGCTGTTCCGCCCTTCAAACCGAAACGCATTACTGCTTCGCGGCAGAAATAGACTGGTGGTACCTACTGGTGCGGAGTCTCAATACGTCCTACCACCAGTAAAAGTCTGTGAGCTTGCATTACAGCTTCACCGCCGATAGGTCCTTACCGTGAACGCTCCCAATATCCCTTGCCACTGCCAAATGCTAACATACTCTGCCTGATTCAGGGTCAGAAGTGTCTTCGAAAATGTTCATCGGACGAAGACTGCAAGAGTAAAAAGAAGAAATGTCTCTGCGACGGAGCCTGCGGGATGTCATGCATTAAGCCGGGTGAGTTACAATAATCGAACTACTGTGCGTCCGATAACCGAAATTCGACCTTAATTACTGACCCTTCAAGGTTCATTTCGTGTGATTACTCTTTTGTTTCTTTATTGGCAGTGTCCAAAAATAGTATTTAAGTTAAAATTAAGTGTTTTAAGAACGGCTAAATAATTGTAAATAGACATGTTTCAACAAAAACCGACTTCAAATAGAAAAAAAAAGATATTCCAAAACAAATTAATCTATACTATCTATACTAATATTATAAAGAGGAAAGATTTGTTTGTTTGTTTGTTTCGAATAGGCTCCGAAACTACTGGACCGATTTGAAAAATTCTTTTTCCATTAGAAGCCGACATTGTCCCTGATGAACATAGGCTACTTTTTTTATTTTATTTTTTATTTTATTTTTTGGTTTCATGTGTGTTTTAATGTTTCCGAAGCGAAGCGAGGGCGGGTCGCTAGTATACACTAAAAACAATAATCATCGAAATCAGTTTGCATGATATTGAGTTATTCATCTATTTGTCGCGCACGTACTTAATGCAAATTTAAGACTTACATGGTTTTCTCTCAGTTCTTGAAATGGGAGCACACGGGAAGCGTCAGCTTTCTAATAAATAAAAGAATCATCAAAATCGATTCACCCAGTCAAAAGTTATGAGGTAACAACATTTAAAAAAAAACATACAGTCGAACTGAGAACCTCCTCCTTTTTTGAAATATATGAAAATATCTTGAAAAATATCACTTTCGTCTAAATTAATTATCGTACTATTTCGTAAAAGAAATGATTTTTATGACAGTTGTAAATAAGCATACTGCATTTTACTAGTGGTAGGACCTCTTGTGAGTCCGCACGGGTAGGTACCACCGCCCCGCCTATTTCTGCCGTGAAGCAGTAATGCGTTTCGGTTTAAAGGTTGGGGCAGCCGTTGTGACTATACTGAGACCTCAGAACTATATCTCAAGGTGTGTGGCGCATTTACGTTGTAGATGTCTATGGGCTCCAGTAACCACTTAACACCAGGTGGGCTGTGAGCTCGTCCTCACATCTAAGCAAGAAAAAAAAAAAAAGTTAATGGAATCGATCCTTAAAAGAAAATACTCAACCCATTGTTGTATTTCTCTCCGAAATTCCGATAGTTTTTGGAACAATGATATTCTTCTTTGTCGGTATTAATTGGAAGATTTACGAAGGTCGATTGATTAAGCGCTAAGCTTCGGTCGATAATTAGCTTTGATGGATTTAGAATTAGGGAGTGCCCATTGTTACCATACTTTTTTTTTATTGCTTAGATGGGTGGACGAGCTCACAGCCCACCTGGTGTTAAGTGGTTACTGGAGCCCATGGACATCTACAACGTAAATGCGCCACCCAACTTGAGATATCAGTTTTAAGGTCTTAGAGGACAAGAGGGATTACCGCCACCTACTTTTGACTTATCAGTATGACCCGAGGCTTACTCTTCTTTTACTTTTCTACTCTTCTTACCCTCATCTCACTTTTCGGGGTAGGCACTGCATCTCTAGCATCAAGTGCCGGGGTTAAAATCCTAGGTACTATTACGTCAGTAAGACTAACGCCGTCTGTCATCAAATAGCAGAAACGGATATCAAAAGAACTAATAGCATCGAGAACGGTCGAGAAGTGTAACGCCATCTATTATCAAATAGCGGAAACGCGTATCGAAACGCATCGTCCTATCGGGAATGTTCTCGATAATTATAGACTTGTCGTGTCATCCTCTAGTTACTAATGTAAGAGTCCACATCCAACGGTCAGGAAATAATACACAGATTGCAGTAGTTTACTTAATTCTGTATTGCTTTATTTGTAACTCCACTTTTACAATCTTTAGACATCTGCTCACTACCGAATACACTGATTTCTGTCCCGTTTTTTCAGACTACCGCCTTTTTTATTATGTCACGTCCCCACTACTGCCATTGCTCCCACCAAAAGTGTTGCTATTTGGCAATCCGAAAATTGCCTTAACATTAACAAAATTAATTATTTTACAACAAACCTTACACTAATTAAACGCGAGTGAAACCGCGGGGCGCGTCAAGTTAAACAAACAAGTCGAATAGCCATATCGGTTGGCCACGGACGCTGGGATCATCTTTAATTCTTTCAATCAAAACCTAAGGTACTATAAATTAGTATTGCGCCGGAGAAAACCCTGCCCTCTGACAACACGATAAAGTTCACTTTCCGTCTCTGAGAACACGAACATCCGATCTTCCTTGATCTTTGTAGCGTCGTTACATTGATATATGTCAAGGACACGTATCTATTGAGATCTACTTACACCACCGAAGATAGAAAGATAGGCAGATCTTTCTCTCGACTACTTACTGTTATGATAAAAAGATGATGATAAAAATTGTAATAATTGCTGTAGACAGACCAACCACATTTATTTTGATCTCTATAGAACATTAATTACCCTCTTTTAATTTTTTTATTTTTATTGTTTTTTTTTGTAGGTTTGTATATGCAGTTTTTTGTTATCTTTGTCTTAATTTAATATTAGTTAACGATATTTTTATCTTAAGCACAAACGCTTTTAAGCAAGACGTGTTCACACCTAAAAGGGTGAATTCTATAATTTATTATTTTATGTAAATAACTTCAATGTTTATGTGTGCAGATTCCATCCAGTTGTGTGAACCTAATAAAAAAATAAAAAACTTCAGAGGTGTCAAGAGACACCCGGATGGAACGAAGTTCCTTTCGATTAATTAGTGAAGGAATTGTAATTTTTTTTTTAAGTTATAATAATAAATTACGGCATTATGAAGAAGAAAAAAACAATACTATGAACTAAATTACTATTGTTGAAACGCTATCTCGAGAAACTGTACTTATTACGCGGACCAATAGGATACGAGCAATGTCACGCGATAAGCGCCTACACGCTGATTGGTCAGAATGACGGATCTAAAAAGTGTCGTGACAACTTTTCGTAAAAAAAATTTCCGTCTAGCCCCCTTTCACAACGCGCGATAAGGAACTTCGTTCCAAAAAATTATCCCAAAACGATTGGGATTTTTACACTATTTGATTTACAAAGAAAAGATAATCAAGAAAGTCGTATTGTGTTGAATTTAGTTACTGGGTCACACTCCATTATTGCGAAGAATCGTCCATTAAAGACCTAACGACATGAACTGTATTATTGCTCAGGTACCTACCGCACAATACTCTTCAGTGTGCTTAGTGCGAGTTTTTTACGTTCTCGAAAGCGTAAAAATTAAGTCAAATTTGTATGGAGTTGGAACGTTTGCCTACGTTTGCCGCTAGGGGCGCTGTTCCAAACTTGAGTTAACTTTAACGCTATCGAGAACGTTAAAAAACTCGCACTAAGCACACAAATTAAATATTACAGTTTACGTAAGGAAGATTAATTGAATTAAAATAATCAAACAAAATTTTGCTGTAATATTAATCATTGATCAAATTTAAAATGTTAAAGTAAAAATAAAGCCTTAAATTTATAGATCTTTTATAACTTTTAATAAGAGATTTCTGAAATTATACGTCCGATAGTCTTTAAATAAGGCACAGACACTCCTTTTGATACGTGGGCGCTCACCCCCTAGCGGCAAACATAGACAAACTCCATACAAATTTGAGTTAACTTTTACGCTATCGAGAACGTTAAAAAACTCGCACTAAGCATACTGATAATGTACCACACTCAATCAATTTCATCACTCAAATTGGTCGGTGTAATTCGCTTTATTTTTTTTTTATTGCTAGATCGGTGGACGAGCTCACAGCCCGCCTGGTGTTAAGTGGTCACTGGAACCCATAGACGTCTACAACGTAAATGCCGCCACCTACCTTGAGATATGAGCTCTAAGATCTCAGTAAAGTTTCAACGGCTTCCCCACCCTTCAAACCGAAACGCATTACTGCTTCACGGCAGAAATAGGCAGGGTGGTGGTACCTTACCCGCGCGGACTCACAAGAGGTCCTACCACCAGTACTACGCAAATTCTAATTTTGCGGGTTTGATTTTTGTGTTTTGATTTGATGTGTTGCTTTGTGATGTTAACGCACTCTTGTAACTAACTACCTTATGATGGGGGTAATGAGACAGCACGGCTGACGTTACAGCCTTCAAAAACACTCAGGGCTCCGGTCCCCCATCGAATTTATATTAAAACTAGCTGGCCCGGTAAACGTTTTTTTGCCAAATAAATTATTCCTAGGAATGATAAACAACCTAGATACCGACTGCAGGGCCATCTGCCTTGCTGATTGGTAAATCTAACCCATTCTCGAATCCACCTGAAGGTCCACAGAAAATTACATTAAAATCGGTCCAGCCGTTTAGTATAATCAGTGACAAACACACGCACAGAAGAAATCTATATCTAGACTTCTATACTAATATATAAATCTACAGGGGTTTTTACGGATGTTCCGTTATAACTACTGAACCGTGCGTCCGATTGACTTGAAACTTGGGATCCATGTAGAAAATATATGTACTTAATGGATAGGCTAATATTTATATGAGTGTTGGACTCCCTACACCAGTTGCGGGGGCGTTAATGATGAGAATCTTTGTGGGGGTGAGACATAATAATGAGAAATTAAATGCCCAGCGAAGCGGACGGGTACAGCTGGTATATATATAAAGATAAAAGTGTTGCACGCGACAAATGAATGACTTAAATTTAACAGCGTCGTAGAGCATCGTAATCTATGTCAGGGTCAGGGGGCGGATGAGTACGGAGCACTCGGTCGACTCGGCGGAGAGCGCTCACTCAACCTTTTCAGAAAAAAGCACTTACCGACCCTCCATACCGCGAACGAGGGCCAGTCTCGGAATATTTAAATTTCAAACAATAAAACGCCATTCAAAGCAAACAAAAGTATTTAAAAAGTAATACGTAATAATAAGTAAGCGTATTAATTTAGTTATAAGTTATTAATTTTGATATTAATCAAATTAAAACCATTACTCGATTATGTCCTCTTGTGAGTC